AGACAAATAGTCGGTATTTTGTATGTGTAAGAAAAGGAAAGTTAGTATTTGTGCGCTTGGTTGGTGCCATTGGCGGGCGAACCAAGCTCGATTTAAACGAATTAAAAATGAGAAGGAAGACTATGGGCCAAGAACGTCTTAATCATCTCACAATATTGAATATAGAGCATGACTAGGAGGCAAACGAGCAGACGGATCACCTGATGGTAAGCGATCAGCGCCGCCCATGGACACCCGCAACACCAGAAGAGTCACAGGTGCGTTGCCGGCCCTTTAAAAAGGAGTACGCTCTTCTCTTGAAGGTTTGAAGGTCGTATCGGTTCGGAAATACCGCCGACGACAGATCATTCCACAGTTTTGCTGTGCGAGGCAGGAAGCTACGTGAGAACCGCACAGTTGTGGCCTGCCAACCATCTATATGATGGGGATGCATATGCTGTCGTGACGGTCGATGGCGAAAAGATGCGGCAGGTATCAGTTCAAACAATTCCTCAGAGCACTCCCCGTGGTATAAGCGGTAGAAAATGCACAAGGAAGTCTTGCATAAGGAAGTCGATATTGAAAGTGTAATCGCTAAATTTGCCCATAACAAATCCAGAAAAGTTTATTTGTAACAGTTTTGTTTTATGTAATACCCTAAATAACGACAATGACCAAATTTGTATGGAGCGTGGTGCCTTTTTTTTTTTTCGCGGCAGTTTATTGGATGTGTAAAAACTGATGCAGAATAACATTACAAACAAAAAAATATATGGGGTCTTATATCAAAAACACAGTCCAAACCGAGTTAAATCAGTTCAAAGATGTGAAAATAGTGCTATATAATTCCTTTTATTTTGTTGATGTCGACCGTACACAACACAACGCATATTTCTTCATTTACTTGTCAGAAATATTTTGTATTAAATGTTTATAAACAATTTCAAGGAATATAGTAAAGCTTATAGTGGACTTCTTTATCTTTTTTTATAAGGCCACGGAATCATAACAGAGTCAAACATAAACTTTACTGGCCACTGCTCAAGTAAAAAAAAACCATTTTGCTTGCCTGGCTAGCGTGTTCACTTTATACCTACCTATGTATACGGTTTATGGCCTATGACAGATTTTCATGTAAGTTTCAATATCACGAAATGCTATGTTTGTCAGCTGCGGCGTCGGTAGCGAATTGAGCAGTGACAATCGTCAAAACACGAAAAAATATTTTTTCTGTCTACTTCTCCCGACTTACTCTCGATTAGTCACTAATTTAACTACAGTTAATACTCTTATCTACAGCTAGCATAAGATTCTGTACAAAGATATCGTCATTCAGTCACAAAGTGATGGATTATATTTCGACTGATCACATTATATGAAAAAAATTATACGCTCATCTGACGTAGGTATAAAAAAAACCGGTAGGTAAACCGTCGACTTTGTAAAGTGATACTTTACAAAGTCGACGGTTTCTTTTCTTCAAAAGATTATGCGAACTATAAAGTAGATGAGTCTCCCACCAGGAGTCAATGGCAAAACAAAATATACTTTATTAGATATTCGCACGGCTACCACCACTCAACCCACCACTGGTAACATAGCTGAGGCTCATGAAGCTTCATGACACAACTCCTAGAAGCATCCCACAAGTTATCGACTGAGAGAAAATAGGTAATAAAAATTTGTGCCTGGCAATATGAATATATTGTGGTGTGATATGGTGTTCCTGTGCCCGACATACAGTTGCGTGCAATTTAAAGTTGGGAATTGTGACAAAAATATGAATAATTTGAATAAAAAAACCAAAGTAAAATGTTTGACTTTTCAACGCTCATAACTCATAACTCAGTCCAGACTGAGATTTCCATACATGAGCCTATAGACAATTTCTTTTGTAATGTCATTTAAGACAATATTTTCCATAAATTATTGACTGCCGCCAGAAAAAAGAAAGGCACCAATTTTAGTCAATGCCCAAATGAGAACCGATAGCAAACCAAGGGCCCCTTGACAAAATTTGCTACAGGCCCCGCGCTTGCTTAATCCGGCACTGCACACGACCTCTACTGCTGGTGGTTTACTTACAATTCACACACAAATGTAGGTACATTTACACATTTGTATAATCATTATTTAGCTAATAGATTTGTTAGAAGTTGGAAATGTGTCTAGCATGACTGGCTTTTATCCATGGTTTCGAACGCGTCCGATTCGAAGTTCTTATTTATACGTATAAACCTTCCTCTTGAATCACTTTATCTTAAAAAATCTTATCAAAATCTGTTACGTAGTTTTTTCTTATATTAGATGGGACTGACGTTTGATTATTATCTAGTCTGGTGTAAGCGATGATGCGGTCCTACGATCGAGCACGTCGTCCCATAAGCAACCTATTTACTCGGGCCTTGAAGACATCCAGGTTATATCCTTCAGGAAATATAGACTCTGGCAAAGAATTCCACTGCTTAGCAGTACGCACGGGTGGGACATCTATCATGAATCTTTTATTTTAAAAGTTTATTTTAAACATCTAAGCATATATATATATACTCACACAGGCGTCTAAAAGTGACTTTGTTATAATTAACTATATTATTTAGTGATAGTGAAGAGGAAGGCAGAGGTACACGTATTTAATGAAAGGCTCGCTTTTTACTACTTATGATATGAATCCCCTGTAATAGAAGACGACCCTGCCAAAAGTAGGTAGGTGCAGAGAAAAAATCTTATAGCCAGCACCAAATGGTCCCTCTCAATAGACAGGCAGCAAAAATGCAATAAAACATAACTCACTCAGTGTTTCCAAAATAAAACGTAATATCAATCAATCATAGGTACCAATAGAAAATACATTTCAGAGTTAGTACACGAATATTTTTCACATTTTTCTTAAGAACATTTTCTCGAAGAAACGTGTGGGTTTTATGATCGGTATTTTATTAACAAAATACGCACATGGATGCTATTTATAAAACCTGCATTTTGTTACTAGCAGCAATATCTAGGAATAAACATGTAGTGAGCATAGCTAGCTATGTTGTACATCTCTAAAAACTGTTCGAGCTTGTGCACTGTGGAAGATAAAAATAACATCTAATACAATCACCATTTATATCTCAGAAGAAATAAATAGAGTTCACCAGTTTTATAATCAGTTTCGTACGCGAAATGCATGTCGTCGTATATCGGGTACAAATCTAGACTTAGTCGCTATTCTTTAATCAAATCGAATTTATACCACATCGTAGAAACTTTACTGAACGCGAAACTCTTTGCTTGACATAATATTAGCGAAACGACACGATCGACGAGACAGATAAAATAAAGACTAGTTTTGATTACATACATACAAGTAGGTAACATAAAATTTAAAAGATATTCTCAGCATCATTTCCACAAGACGTAAAGACCCAAGTTCCGTATGCGTGTCATACACTTTTCCCTGTTTCTTAACTTCCTAAGATCCAAGCAGATCCAAGCATAGATAGTTCTCCACTATTTAGTATTTCCCAAGCAACAGCTAACAATAGAGGAAAGCTCGTAAATCCCAACGTTTTGCGACTTTTTACTGACTTCCCTGTTGTTGGGTAAGCTGATTTCTCAATTGTAGGCTTGGAATCACTCACTGTAATATATATTAGAAACTAGATTTTGCCTGTTTTCTTACGTGTAAAAATCCTATGTGTTACTCCAGACCAGAGAGACAAACAGACAAAAATGTTACTGATTGCATTTTTGGCATTAGTATCGATCACTAATCAACCCCTGATAGTCATTTTGGAAATTTATTCCATTTACAGAATTGACCTCTTAACTCGTAACTTAGTACGTAGCGCTTAATAACACAATACACCTTTTTTATTTCGATGATGGAGGGAGAAAGGACGACTTAAAGAGGCGCTTAGCTTTTTGAAGAGAAAGACTTGTGTGAGAGTGGGATCCTCCAACTAACTGAAACCGCGGTGGCCACATCATCTAAATAATAAGAGCTCTTATATCAAGGGTTAAATGTCTTCTAACCAAACAAACTCACAATTCAATTTAACAGCAAAAAGGTTTTACGAAAACCTTACCTATTTTAAAATAAAACGGTGAGATAAAGTAATAAAATAAATGCTAAAGGTAAACCTCCTTTTAGCTCCGAGTCCCGTAATGAGCGACTGTAAAGTGTGACTTTTAAGGGTCCTAATTTTATCCCGTAAAGTAAAGTAGTACTTATTTATACACTTTGTAGGTTGAAGTTCCTTTATGTTGTGCCTTGTGTGTAATGACTTTCAACCACGTATAACAGATATTGAACAATTTTTATTCGATTTTGGTAGTTTAGGTCTAATTAAGTACTTGGAATTATGCAAAACACATACTTTATTGTAAAAAATAGTGACAAATGAAAAAAACTATATTTTAGACTTGTATCTCACAACAATCCTTGCTTAATCAAAAATCTTCCAAAGAATATTTTGTCAGCCGGTTCTATGACGTCATTTACCCTTCTGTAGTGTTTAATAACATCTAAAATCCTTCCACATGTTCGAAGTGACGTCAGCATTGGACTACATGTCACGGAGACCACGTTAATAAATGTATTTCAATCACTTCTCTACAATCTCACTCGTTCACCTCGAAACGTTTCGATCGACAGATCATTATAATAACAGATTAAGATTATGTACTCTGATCACAATGTGCATGTGGGCGACCATATTATCGTCTACCAGCTGATTAGATATTATCACTTACCATGTAAATTATTTGAGGAAGCAATGTAGTTTCTTATTATGTTCTTTTGGTGCTTATCGGTTCAAATCTTTTCCTAAGTCAAATGCATCACTCTGCTGGGTGATCTAAACTCGATTTTCTTGTTTCTAACACATACATCGATACCTGCAAAACCGGTACACAACAAATTTTAATAAAGTATCGTTGGATACAGAATACAGTCTATTTATGAATGATACAAAGATACAAAATGTGTGATAATAAATAAGAATGAAACTGTAATGAGATTTCTTTTGTTCCAGGTGAGAGCTGTGTCGAGAAGCCACTGGCGACATTGTGGCGCAACTACCAGCAGTCGACTAAACCAGACGTAGTGATGAAGCTATCTGTCACTAACTCCGGCCTGAAGGGATTTACCAAAGAGCATGGACTTACTGAATATTGGTCCCACCGCATCACTTACTGTGCCAGCCCACCGCACTACCCCAAACTCTTCTGCTGGGTGTATCGACACGAAGGCAAGAAGCTCAAGCACGAGCTTCGGTGCCACGCCGTCCTTTGTACCAAAGAATCAATATCAAAGAAGATTACAGAGGAACTTCAAATCAAACTGAAGCAAGCCTTAAGTGAGTTCAAAAAGGACAGAATCTCAAAACAAAATGCACGACTTAGTCTCGCTAACAGTGTGTACGAAAACCCGAGTATGCCTCGCAGAAAGATCTTACTAAGCGTCGGAGCTACGAACTACAGACCACCGCTGGAGAGGTCAAAATCTGCTCCGAAATTGGGAGCTATTGAGGAACTTTGTTCAGAAGAAGATGAAGAGGAAGCGGAGATGAATGCTAAGCAGAATGGCGAGCCCTGGTCACGAACGGCTTTGGCGATGGACACCTTTTATTCCTCGCAAACGCTCGATAGACGACGACCTGATATAAAGTCGCCAAGGAAGACATCATGTCCGGAAGGAGTCATAAACCGAACGCTGTCGGACTCTGGAAGCGACACTGTCACAGTCTCCGACGAATTCCTCGAATTATTGGCAAAGGAGAGCCAAAAGAATGGACGTATCGATGATACTAGTCATAATGATGGAGAAAAGGAAACAAGATTGCTAGAAGCGATTGCCGAATCGAACGAACTGAGTGATAACGTGGTGACCGAGGGCGATTGTAAGGCGCTCATGCAAAGTAACTACCTCGTCACGGATAGCGACGACGGATCTGTTTCTTCGGGCTGCGAGACCGCCAGCACGGTCACTGACACTGAGCCGTCATCCCTGCCTTCGTTCCCCCAGGAAGACCAGAAGGAGCATGCTGACAACACTATCTCTTACTTGGACCAGAACTTCACACATAACGATATCAGGAGTAGCAATAGAAGCTACAACTCTGTTCATATAATGAACAACTCTGACTCTAACGTCATTGAAGAGGTAAATCATGTCCCCATCGGTGAGAAGAATACCTTCAGGCGAAGATCCACGTATCCTCCTCTGCGAGCGGATACGAATATTATGGCTGACTACGAAGGAAAGTTTGAGTCTCTCATAGACAACCTGACTGATGTAGACAGCTTAAACTCCAGCACAGAAACTGAAGTGTTTAAGAATACTGGGGACAATGACAGCGCGTGCAGCGATGAGTCAGGGTACTCGGAGTTGTTGGATGGTAAAGAAAGTATAATAGGCAACACTATAATGGTCTAAGTTTCCCATATGTTAGCTGCCCCTTTCTGAGTGTTTGTTTTTCATAGAAAAGTCCCAAGGACGATAGCGCTCCCCTGATCTCTAGTGGGGCAGCAGCCATGTTGAGAACTGTCGAATTATTTGAGTGTAGATTTAGAAATTTGAATTTATACGGTCTGGCAAAAACAATGCACGTAGTTAAATATTATTGTGAATCCTTTACTAAGATATAACTTATAATAATGTAATGTTACAGAGGTTATGTTGGGTTATTTCGACGAATTTTAAGTAATTATTTAGTCCAGCCAGCGTCCTGATAGATTAGTAGTCGCCGGTGTATAGTCTGTCGTGTGTTAGTTCAGCACCATTTTCTTTGTAAATAACAGGGTACAAGAGTACTTCATACAGTTGTCGTATTATTATGTTTAAATGTTTGTATATATTGTAATTTTAGTTCATGCATTAGATGAAATTTTTCGGAGATTTTATTTGTAAAAGAGTTATAATATAGTTAGGCACTTTATGGATGCAAACATCTGTTTTGTTTTTGTCTATATTTATTGTTAATAGTAAGTAAACCTGTTGAGGTGGCTGTAGGCGGCAGGTTGTGGGTGCGAGTACATAAATATGTGAAATTATGTATTAGTGCAGTGCGTGGGGTTCTAGACGATTAAGTACATAGTACTATATTGTTTGTAACGAGTGTTGTCCTTCGTAGATATTGTGGCTTATTAGTTTGTGACTGATATCTATTAGATCGACACAATGTCTGGTATCACAATAACTTTGTGAAGTAGCATTACTTGCATTGAAGATGTAAAAGTGTAGAAAAATTTAATTATGTTACTTCCTTGAATTTTCATACACATTTCTCGTAAAATGTAGAATGTGAATATTTCATGTCCTGTGATGTGTAACATCTGTGTCTGCTTCACGTTGTAGTGGTAAGACAGTAAGGCAGTAAGGCAATAAGGTCTCTGTTCACCTACATCCCGTGTGTACTTACGCATTCCATCAGCACGTGTACTAGGTCGCCACGACACCGTCATCGTCATCCTAATTATAATTGTAGCGGAAGATAATAATTTTTCGATGAAAAATAAATAATTTAAAAGTTATTTCTTGTTTTATTTTTTCCTTACAATTTGGTACAACATTTTGGAAGAGGGCAAAGAAGAATAGAGCTGCTGATTGCGCAGAAATTAGAATGAATAGAAAGGTCACCGTCAACCCAACGATGAATCTAAACCAAGATAGTGTCATTATCTCATCTGACTGCTCGGTTGGCGCGGCGGCTAAGCCATCGGCTGCGGCGTAATGTGAAACGGGTTCGATTCCTTCACGGAGCAACTCTTTGAGTGATCCACAAATTCTTGTTGGTAAACTTGTATGGTGGTAAAAGCACCCACGACACAGGAGAAAATACTAATGTGGGTCAATGTCAGTGTCTGTGATTCTGCAACGACTTCACGGTTGGTGCGGTGGCTGGGCAACCGGCTGCCATGCAACGTGACGCGGGTTCGATTCCCGCACGGAGCAACTCTTTGTGTGATCCACAAATTGTTGTTTCGGGTCTGGGTGTCATTGTGTATGTGAACTTGTATGTTTGTAAACGCACCCACGACACAGGACAAAATCCTATTGTGGGGCAACGTTTCATTAAAAAAAAACTTTGTTGTAAAGTTTCATTTGTTATTGTTAATTTCGCAATTCATTTTAACTTACGGAGTGTGTCGCCTTCTCAACCAGCCAGTTACTACTCCTATTGAAGAGACACAGCTCTATTTATATTTACAAACAATAGGTACAATTACAATCACATTACAAATTCCATTACTGAGAATTTTGTAAGTCGGTATCCCAAGTTAGTAATAAATTAATTAATGAATACCAGTTCAGTGTTCAAGTATATTGGAATGGTGTCTATATGATAAGGTGATATACATATAGCTAGAGGTGATATATGTCCAATGCCATTATTCTATTTACCTTGCTTCTACAAAAAGTATATAGACTAAGTACATATGTTTCTCAATTCGTGCACCCAATGTCGCTTTGAATCTAGTAGCACACAACCGCTGTCAACGCAAATCAACAAATGTGTCGCAGTGTCATTGCCAGGTACTAGAGCGTGTCAAAACAATAAAATATCTTGGGGTCTTAATAGACGAATGCTTTAACTTCAAAACACATATACACACAGTAAGTAAAAGGATACGCAAACTGATATATGTTTTTAAAACTCTTAGGCATGTAGTCGAACCTCACTTGCTTAAGCAAATCTATTTTGCTCTTTGTCAATCACTAATCACGTATTGTATTACTGTATGGGGTGGTGCACCCAAGACCACTATAAAACAACTAGAGGTGGCTCAGAGAACTATACTTAAATTGTGCACCTTTAAGCCTTTCCGCTTCCCTACGAAACAACTATATGAGTACTGTGAAGTCTTGTCGGTACGTCAGCTATTTATACTTAATCTCACTATGAAACAACACGTTATGATTGATTTCAAACAGACTTCACAACAGAAGCGTAGAGCTTATGCTGTGTGCGACAGGACACTGACTGCAAAAACAAATTTTTTTCGTCGATTTTATCCTATTCTTGGACCACTTATGTACAACAAAATAAACAGAATACTATCAATATACCCAATGGATCGGTATACTCTCAAAAAATCATTGTTCAACTGGCTTTGTAAATTGTCCTATGAAGAGACAGAAAATCTTTTACTGACTCCAAAATAAAATAAAACATTTATAAAAATACTTGCGCAGTCTGTTAAAATAAATTAAACGGATCTAGTGGGAATCAACCTATATCCGAGTTACGCTCATACTCTTTCTCATTCATAAACATACATCATACACATACACTCACACACACGCGCAAACACACACACATACACATACGTCACTTACTAATATTGTTTTCATTGCATATTGCTAAGAAGTATAGACTAAGTCAAATAAACTTCAATTTCATTGTATTTCTTTATCACAATTATGTTTTGTGTACAATTATCTTGTATAATCTCCAAGGGTAGAGGCACTGATTGCTGAAACACAGGTCATGAACCTAGTTCAGCAACAGAAGCTACAGCAAGGACACAATAACTGTATACATATTATATGAAATCTGTTACTGGCTCATATGTTTTAAACTGTGTAACTTCTTGGTGAATAGAGTTATTATTATTATTATATTATTATTATTATATTATTATTATATACATATTTTTTTATATACCGGTATATGGCAATATGCTCACCCCCTATTACATGGGACTAATAACATAAATACTGAAAAGTGGGTGTTACATTGTACAGTGGCATTAAGTGCCGTAATGTGCACCTCTGCCTACCCCTTCGGGGATAAAAGGCGTGATGTTATGTTATGCTACGAAAATTCATTTATTTTCATGTTAAAAATTATAATTAAATAGATATTCAGTACGTAAAAAGTTACAACGTTATTAGTTCTTACGAATATACATTTAGTTTCATAATATTTCCTCCTTTATGAAACCACGAGTTTACTAATTATCTTGGTGATACGGAGTATAGTGCTAATGGAGTCTCAGAGGCGCCTACTGTCGTCAGTTCACGTTAGTGCTATATGTAAACTATCAGGCGCAATTAGACTAACAAAATAGGTAGGTACTATAGTTTCTTAAATCCTTTCAAGAAAACTTTTACTTTCACTGCCTTGTTGGCCGAGTAGTCGAAAGTGTGACTGCCGGGCAAGGCGTTTCGGGGTCCTGATTCCAGGGACGGGTGTCAGTTAAATTGTTTGTCTGAAATTAGGCCCAGTATATGGCAATAGGCTCACCCCTTATTACATGGGAGTCATAACATAAATTATGAAAAGTGGGTGTTACATAGTACAGTGGAATTATGTGCCGAAATGTGCGCCTCTGCCTACCCCTTCGGGGATAAGAGCCGTGATGTTATGATGATAGTTTTGCACTTCCAGATTTATCATAGAAAACTAGGTACTAATTTGTTTATAGAAATCTATTTTAACTGTTAATGTTTGTTTCTCCATATTTTACTTCATGACAACCGCGTATATCTTCCTTCCTATTAGCAGCGGTGCGCTGCGTGAAAGCGGATGTGGCGGGTTCGACTCCCTGTTACAAACTTAAATAAATCGAGGAGAGATTACTAAGATCCGATTTTTCAATCATCAGTTATTTCATAACTGTAAATAAAAAAGATTTTTAACAGTTTAACCTTATTAATAGAATGCCTTATGTCGTGGCGGCCCGGAGGTTTAAGGCGCTCGCTTCTCATGCAAGAGAGTTCTTGTTCGAAACCTACCAACGGCAAGTACCAATGTTAGGTACTTACTCCTTGTTATAAATTATGTACTTTCTAAGATTATTTAGACACCACTGACCAATGGTGAAGGAAAACATCGTGATGAAACCTTGGTTAATAATTTTTAATTATAAGTTTGAAATCGCCAACCCGCATTGAGCAAGCGTGGTGATTAATGCTCAAACCTTCTCCGAGTGAGAATAGGCTTGCTCAGCAGTGAGCATTTATAGACAGTTGATGATGGGCATATTTTTAAATCCCGTGTCATTTTGTTCTGATAAATATAATGCTCAGTACTAAGCTACTACTGTGATTCTTGAACCCACGAACAATTCAAATAAATCAAGATTCCATGCACAAAACGATTTCATTTTAATTTCGACTTGAATAGCGGGTTTGTTTCAAATTCCTGAATCATTTACCATATTTAGGCTATCGATCGTCCCAGTTCCTGCAATGACCTGGTTCCACAGCACGCTAACAAGGAACCCCTCTATTATGCAAGTTAGTCTTTCTTGACATGCAAGTCGTTACAATCACTAAAAAATAACAAAATGGCGCCGTAAATAACCAAAATGGTTAGATGTGAATGTGAAGATGTCTTAAGCTTAGTCGCGTGCTAAAAGTGCGGCAATGTTCAGCAGAGAATGAACATAAGCTTCTGATTATGAAAAACATTATCCTATTATCCATCAATAAGGTAGCATTGTGTATGTTAAATTATCGTTATAAAATTGCAATATTACTTTATCGTCTTAATTATATCATTTAGTTAGATGTAATTTGTGCCATGAGCAGTCTCAAAGATTAACCTTTAGAAAACATGAACCATATCACCGAATTAAATCGATCGATCGGTCTATTTTTACAAAATATATATCTTTTTTAAACTACTTTTAAAAAATCAACTTCAAACCCCTTTTTTTTAATTGTTTAATTAATACACTAAAACCTTCTCATAAGTGTAAAAAATACTATTCTGAAAACATCAAAACCGTTTCAGCCTATCGCGAGATAATCGCGCACATACATACATACAGGTTAAACTGAGAACCTCCTCTTTTTTTACGTCAGTTAATACAAGGAAAAGAATCAAGAGCAAAGTCGTTGGGTGTTGTGAGCACTTCTACAGGGAGTACCTTTCTACATGGCATTGTCACGCAGGTGTAAAGTCACGCTTCGTGAGCAGCGTGGTGGGCGCATGTGGTGTTTCGGTTAGCTACATACTTTGTACCGCCAAAATGGAACTAATGAACTGCAGTGTTAAATGTTGGTAGATATAATTTATCAATTTTAGAAAACCAGTCGATAAAGGTAATGCGACTCAATAGTCAAAGGATAATTTTATGCGTTTTTCGCTATTTATAAAATGAATCTCATATAAGAGAGAAGAGATGCCAGACGGATTTTTTTATACTTGATAGGTCGACATTTGGCCACTATCTCACCTGGCGGTAAGCCATGACGTGACTGATAGAGCACACCAACCTATGACTATGAGGAACCTAAGGGTATAGAAGATAATTGATAAATCGTATATACAAGTAA